ACTCAAAAGGGTAGATCGAGATGATATTTATAGGGTCGCCAAAACTCCAATTGACACAGCCATGATATAGAATATAAGTTTATCATCTAAAATTTATTTTTCTTACTTTTCGAGATATAAAAAATGTATTAAATAATTTTGATAATCTACCTCATTAATATATCATTTTCAATAGACAATATTGCTAATCCATTTAATCGTTCTTGTGACAGTTAACCTCAAACAAGATTTTATTGTATTTAATTTTGAAAAATGTCTTTGAGTATAAGCCAACATAACCAGTATTGTTAATAATATTCTATAAGCTATATACACATTTGACAAAGTTATTCTACTAACCATGAATGTTTTATTAATATTTACGAGGTTCTATTATCTTGATCTTCGTCAGATCCAACTTTTGGACCGGATGCTGGTTTGCGCATTTTGAACTCTGATACCATATTAATATTCATGGATTTCATCTCAAAACCAACTAACCTATATATATATATTATATATTATAAACCACTGTTAGATCTCTTATCTTTTCAACATGAGACGTTTAACATGTTTAGTTAAAATTGACACCATTTAAAATATTTTTTCTCCAACTTCAAAAGGCTTATGCATCTTTTCAAGTGAGAGAAAATATTTTTTAACATCGAAATTTAAAACATTGTAGTAGTTATGTAAAACACATAAATATTTGATTGAAAGAATGTTTCTTTCTACAACACATGTGGGGATGAATGATTGAACTTTCAACCTTTTAGGGAATGAGTAAAATAACTAACTGTTAAACTGTGCTCATGTTAGCTATGGACAAATTAAAACAAAGTAGTACACATATAAGAATAATTTTTCGTCATTGGGCTTATAGTATATAAGTCAAGATCGTATTGATTATTGAGGCTTAGTCACGTGTGCATGTACCTGTGACAGCATCATCTTATCCAATAATACTCCACATTGTCCTTGAAATCTAGAATATTTAACTAGTTTAGTACTTTCCATACTTATCCAATACTTGAGAAGGCTTTTAATTAATTAGTTTATCTCTTATACTTTAATTAATTAACTACTTTAATGGGTTTAGGGCGTGATATCCAACTATACGTCGGTAGTCTTTTTAGGGGTGTTTGGACACGCAGGTTCGACATCGGTAGCTTGAGAATGTTAAACCTATGATAGATTTTTGAAGATTTGATACATGGAAGAAGCTTTTGGTGGCAGTAATGTATCTTGAGATTAGGTAGCCTATGTTTGGGTACATGAATATACAGCCCAGTGTCGAGTTTTCTAAATCTTTTTTAATCAAAACTGTTCTTCTTCATTATTTTTTTGGAACTATTCCACCATTTTGAAATGTAAAGAAAAGTTAAAAAAGGGAAAAATGAAAAAGAATTAATGGTGGCAATTTATGGGGTTGAATAGTATTCCCATGAGATTATGTTCGAGAAGTCAAGGTTTCCAAACCCATGGCCGACAACATGGGTTTCCCATAAAATACAATAAACAAGAAAGTGTCAAACCGTTTATAATATTAAGGATCCCAAATTGAAAAGAAAATTGACCTTACATAAGTTAATAGACATGGGTTATTCCTCTTATTGCCAATTAGTTGTGAGATGCAACCTATGGATATTAATATGGTATCAGTGTCCAAAACGCTCAAACAAGCATTCGGTCCAAAAATGAGATTCGGCCAAGATCGATGAGTCAAAAAGCCACGATCTTGAGGGGACATGTTAAGGATCTCACATTGAAAAGAAAAAAAAAGACCTTAAGCTAATTGGTTTTGAGATGGAACCCTATGAATATTGAAACATAACTCACAAGGCTGTTCGATAACGTTTATGTTTATTATTTTTGTTTCTCATATTTTGTTTTTTTAATAAATAAAAGATATCTATGGTGGGTAACCATTTCTTAATTTTTCTTTGTCTTATTTACTGAAAAAATAAATTGAAATATGTTTGAAAACAATTTTTATTTACCATTTTCTAAAATTTTAAATTAAAATAGTACACTTCTATAATTTTTAATTAAATATTCCATTTTTACGTTATATTTATTTTTTAAAAACATTATTATACATTTTATAAGTTTAAATAAAACAATACTTTTATCTATATTTTGGAAAAAACTGCAGACGAGAACAAGAAAAAGAAACTTGATTTTATTGTTTCCAAAATTTTTATACAAATTTGAAAATTAAAAGTGAAGAAACAAAATACTATGAACAGTAACCAAATACTTATGTTTCTTAAAAATTAAAAACAAGAAATAAGAAATCATTAATCATAAACGTTATCAAATAATCCTAAATTTCTTTGTTTTTTTAGAATGCTACGTACCGTTTGTATATAATGGATGAGAATCTAAATTTATAAATCTATAAAAATTATTTGAACTTTGTCATTGAAAGTGCTTTCAGGTAACAAAAGAAACCTAAAAGGGTTTTACAATGCAGTTCTTAATTTTATCTTATTTATTTCTTTAATTTCTCTTGAGATAAAGAAGCTATAGAACAACTAATTAAGATAAATTCTATGGACAACATGACTCAAACATAGGGCTCAATAATTAAGGTGCAAGTAGCCTTAATTATAAGTTAAATGCTTAATGTTTGAATCTCACACACATTTTGTTTGATATATTTTGTTTCTTTTCTCTAGAAAACAGAAAATTAAGAATAATTATACAAGAACAAAAAGGTTAATTAACAAAACTAGGGAAAAAAAGGGTTTAAGTTACACAAAAATTTCTAGATGACTCCAAACCCTTGTCATCTCCATCTCTATAAAAAAAATTCCAATTGTACTGATGGAGAGAAAAGTCGACCAAAATTTAAATTTGCAAAATGTCAACTCTCTCCATCGGTGGGTCATAAAAAGAAATTAAACTAGGTCAACTAAATTGCCATTATTGAACCTTCAAAAAAGTATTAGCTTAATTTATAGCTAGGTTAGTTGAATTATATAGTTCATTAAATATATTTATTTAGTTTTTGAAATTTAAAGTTTCAATTACGTTTCAAAACTTTTTTAAATTATGTTTATGAATAATTGAACTAGTTTGAGCATCTTCATAGAATTTCGATCATGCATGAAGTTAATAAGAATTCGGCACATATATGAAACCAATAATTTTGACCTGATTAGTTTTCTACTGGTTTTTTAAGGTCTGGAGTACTGTGTGATGAATTTTGCAGAGCTGTGCAATATTCTTTTGTATTACTAGATCAGATCGTTCGCCAACACGACGAGTATGGAGGATCACTTGAACTGTGTCAATATAGCTTATATTTTGAGATAACATAAACCTCAATTATGTTACATATTGTTTGGAGTTATGCATATATTTTTGTGCGATTACTTGGCGAGATAGTAGTGTTACTTCTAATTTCCCTTAAAATTTACTTCATGAAAGAGTTTTTATTTAATTTATTTTGTTGGATACTGATCTTTCACCTACCACGTGTCATAATCGTAAAGGCACGAATTGGAAACCGCTTAAAATATAATAATTTGCCCAAGTTCACTAAGGCTGGAATCAAAGGCATGACCTAAGTAAGCCGAGCCTACCTATAGCCTTATCCATAACAGTTTTCCTAAAACCCGACAACACGCYGCGTTTTTAGGGTGTGTCAGAGTTCTTGTCGGGCCCGGTTTCTATAAATAGAAACTCCTATCGTAAATGCAAGGTACGCAAACCAAGATATACTTGACGAATTAGATCGAATTGAAACTAACTTGCTCGTCGGAGTGCTAACATTGTTTTCCAGGTTCCTCAAGTGCTCTTGGAGGTCGTTTGGCAGCTTAGAGGAGATCCTTTCGATCACTCCGACCTATCCTTCTTCCGAGCTCAGCAAATCTGAGCTCAAACATTTGACGCCGTCTGTGGGGAACGACATTTCTTGAAGTTAGTCTCATTTCGGCAGTTTAAGCTAATGGCCCAAACCTGCTCCCAGCAATCACGTTCTCAGCTCTCACCGATTTGTCTCCAATGGGGGATGCCACCACCCTCAACGCTCATCCTCGTCGCACGTACTCTCAAGTGGTAGGAACTCCGATTGCCGAGCATCAGCCCCC